TTTCATGTCACGTATTACCTTTTAAGAAAAACTGCAATGCAGCATTTAAGTACAACAGAACAATGAGCATATTGTTTCTGATACTTGTAAACAGGATGGATCTACAGTTTCACAGTTTATGTTGACAGTATCTTTGTGGGAAATGTAATTATCAAATGAATTATAACATGTCTTAGTATCAAGATTATTAATAGTAATTTTAATTACCTTTTTCAAGATAATTGGATATGTTCTCATAAGTATATGGGAAAGGGGACACTGGGCTAATTAGATATTTTGAACTTAGTTATCTTTAAAATATCTAGGAGCTTAACATACATATTCTATATTTTAGGAATTTCTTCTTTTAATTAAATGTTTTCCTAAGTAGAACTAAGCTAATTTACAATTTATAAAATCTCACTGTTGATCCCTTGATATTCTTCCTTGAGTATTGATATAATTTTAAAAGATTGAATAATTAAAAATTTTAAAAATTAAATGTTCACTACTAGTTATAACATTTTTCTAAAACTGGCAAAATTAAGAAAATAATATTTTGCTCCACTAATGGGTACTGTTAGATGGGCTTTCATATAATACTTCTGATAATTTTAGAAATTGATTCATTTCCAAAAAGCAATTCGTTTTGGAGATACACAACAGCATTAAAAATGTGCATTTATTTTGATCTAGGGATTTAGCTTCTAGACTTAAAGAACTATTCAGTGGTGTGGTCAAAGGTATATATATATATAAGAATTACAGCTTTGATCACAGTAAGAAGTATTTGGAGCCACTAACTAGGATATTAAACAGGTAATAAAAAATCATGTTCTCAACAAATATTTAGTAATTTAGGAATACTGTCATTCATTGAACCCAGCTGTATATATTTTATTTTGTTTTTTTGGAGACTGGGCCTTGCTATGTTGTCCAGTATGGACTTGAACTCCTGGACTCCAGCAATCATCCTGCCTCAGCCTCCCAAGTAGCTGGGGCTACACGTGTGAGCCACCACAAACAGCCTTGCGTATGAACTGTATATTTATTATGGCCACACCTTTGTTTAAAAAAAATCTGTAAAATCATAGATTAAAGATTAAAAACAAAAAAATTATAATGATTGCTAATTCCAAGAGTAGATTTTTAAATATACTTTTAAATCTTAATATGAGCATTTCTGTAATAACTTCAATTATAATCATTTAAATTGTCTTTAATAAGACAAGTTAATTAAAATTGTGTTTACATTCATTATAATGAAAATTCAACCAGTTGGAGGAACAATATTATCTTGTCAACATTGAATTCATTGTCTTGTTTTCAAATCTGGAAGTAGTTGGTACTCAATAATTTGTTGATTGAATGGATAGATGATGGGGTCAGGAATTAGCAAAGTGGTTTTAGGGAAAACACATTTGGAGGGCCACACAGGTACCTTGTTTATGTTTACATAAAATTGATTTGTTCATCATAACAATAGATGACAGGATAATAAAGTGATAAGAATATGCAAGAACTGCTTTACTAAACATAGTCTGGTAGCATAGAATAAGGCAAAAGCTAAATAGCTAGATTTACTCTAAGACATTTAGTTTGTCTAGTTGTACAATTATAGCTATTAAAATAAACAAGAAAAAACATTTATCACTGAAATTCCAACGGGAAACATAACCTATTTGAGAGTCTGGAACTCTAGTTCTTAACCTCCCCACTTAAAAAAAATTAAACTATTGTTTTTATAAAATGAGTTTTCATAATGCAAGTTTACTCAGGGATATGACTATTACATTGTGGAAGAGTAGACTATTCCATAGTAAACTATATTTTAGTTGTTGTAAAATTAATTTTTAAAAGAATAATTTGGCAATGCAGGTGTATATGTGTGATTTACATGTTTACACAACACCAGAAAGGTAGATTTAATGAAGAATCAAGTGTCTTTCTTAATTGAATTGAATGGTTAGCCTTCTGGACCAGCTCTATTGGAGATGGGGCTTTGCAAATGAGATCTCCATGTCTCCTAGTAAGGTTGAATGTGGCAGCAACTTATATCCCCTGAACCAACAGTCATTATCTACCTTGCCAATATTTTAACACACCTGAAGTTCCTACCACAGTGTATAATGGCTTCCACTGTGGTATGGGGATGCCGTTTCAGCATTGGTGGAGGTAACTGGCAATTAAATAGGTGAGGGCATGTTGAGTGGCAGAAAATAAGGTATTTGCTGCTGGAATGCAGTTTTCAAGGGACAGATACAACCTCTCACTTAGTGGAATATGACCTAAAACTCTACCTAAGTGTTTCCAATGTACATTAGGACTGGCCTTTGAGAGGTAACATATGACTGTTTACTAGCTGAGTTGGAAGCTAGAGAAAGAGACCTGAAATCTTTGAAGATGATAGTAATTCCATATTTCTTTTCTTCACTTGTGTCTTTCTTCCACATGCATGCTTTTCTCTGCTGTGCCATCTCCATCCCACTAGAAAATGTGAGTTAGAATATTCAATTCTGCTATAGAAGAAAACAAATGAGATAATGAAATGTGTAAGAAATTTGATGATAGATAGGAAGTCAGCTAGTATGTTAGGAGATACAGGTGAAACTTCTAGCATGTATTAATATAGATATGAGTAAGCATGTAGTTTGAGAAAGAAAAGCAGAATTTAGAAGATGTACTAAATATACATAGTAAACAAGTTGCTAACCTATAAAACTTGCCAAGACGAAATAAATGGGTCATGAAGGACTAGACAAGTTTGTATTTATTTGATAGAAAGGTAGAAAGACCAATTTATGATCTTGTCACTTCTGGGCTGACAGCTGTGCCATGCCACCTACTTATGACATCCAGTAAGGTCCTATATTGGCCCTTGGTACTATGCCCAAGAAATGCAAATAAAACCCATAATTCTTCACTGTTAATTGGCAAGCTACCTCTTTATTCAGGTATAACTTTCCCTTTGTTTCTCTCATTATCAAGTATGTGCCTTTGACCCCTGGCACCTACTATCTGGGTCACCTGACTCAAATCTGAATTATTATAGGGAAGGCTGATGTGGCACAGAGAAAACAGAGGATGTGACTAACATGGAACCCAGGATACCTATAGGGTGGTCCTGCGACTCACATCCTATCATAAGAGTGTCAGCCTATTTCATTGCTTTCCCATTGCTTTTTGTTTTACATTTATTTAGTAAATTGTATGAAATGAACATGTTAATTTGGTCTGTGAGCCCTCAGATTTAGCCTGCCTGGTAGTGTACTTGGTGGCTACCATTACATCAAGGTAATTTTCGACCTGACAGTATGCTTTACTTTGAACTTTACTAACCCTCCCTCACAATTTGGGATTTTGAACTAATGCACTGATCATAACTATCTGGTTTAGGGGACCTAGACCAAGCTACGAAAGGAGTGTTAAATTACGGTGATTCTATGGCAGTCTTAAGCATAGGTGCAGTCTTAAGCACCTAGTTCGTTGTGGAGGAATTATGAGAACCTGTTTCTCACCCTCTAGGGAAATGCAGAAGAGCTAAGCAAGTCCCAGTTTACCTGGGAAAGAGGATTAGGAGGTTGTTTGTCAGCTCTGTCCCACTTGAATTCTCTCCTTCCTCTCCTTACTTCTGAGGCTGGAGGTAGTTATTGTCCAGAACAAGACCTTCAAATACTTTTGCTCATGTACTCTGTAATACAATTTTGAAAAACATATACTCTCTTGTACATTTTAATTTGACACTTAACATTTCTTGTTACAAGCTTAAGTAGTTGGAAAATATGTGATTTCGGGTATGCTATGAATGTTGACATTTAAAAAATAAAACTGTGTATTTAAAAATATATCTAATAGAATATGAATTCCATATAATTTGTTTAAAATATTTTAATGAACATTTTCAAACACATACAAGAGGAAAAACAGTAAAACCTCCATGTACTCTTCACCCAAGTTAAACAATCATCAGCTTTCTGACATTCTTACCTTTACTCCCTTACTCTTTTCTATTGGAGTATTTTAAAGCAAACTCCAATCATATTGTACTCACATATACCTTGGTTTATATGTCTAACAAAGAAGGTTTATCATGGTAGTACCGTTTATTCATATTCAATAAAGTCATTTCCTTAATATGAAGTAGTAAGCAGTATATATTCATGTGTCACCAATTGTCTCAAAAATGTATGCCTTATGATAGTTTGTTCAAATCAGGAACTAAATAATACTTAAATATTTATGCATTGTATTTAGTTGAAGTGATTTTTATTTATTTATTTATTTTTTGAGATGGAGTCTCTCTCTGTCGCCCAGGCTAGAGTGCAGTGGTGCAATCGCGGCTCACCGCAACCTCCGCCTCCCGGGTTCAAGCAATTCTCCTGCCTCAGCCTCCTGAGTAACTGGGATTACAGGCATATGCCACCATGCCGGGCTAATTTTTTTTTTTTTTTTTTTTTTTTTTTTTGTATTTTTAGTAGAGACGGGGTTTCACCATATTGGCCAGGCTGGTCTCAAACTCCTGACCCTGTGATCCGCCTGCCTATGATTCTTGAGTCTCTTCATTTGTAACACTTCTCCTTTCTCTGTTTTCTCTGCCATGTCTTATAACATGTTTCTCTACTTCACACATTTATGAGAAAAAAACCCTAGAAATTCGATCTAGAAACTTGGTTAGATTCAGTGGTTATGGCAAGAATGCTTCATAGGTATTCCCGTGTTTATAATTCCTGTGGAATTACACAAGGAGAAGCAATTTCTAGTTGTCTTATTCTAGTGATATTAATATGAATCAATAGTATAAGTATTATCAGTCAGATTCATCTGTTATAAATTTGCCTTTGTCCTTTCATCTTATGATGACAAACATTGCCTGGACAAACATTATCTGGGTCCATTATTTCATTAGAGTTTATGCAATGGTGATTTTCTAATTCTTTTGTTCCATCTATATTTATTAGCTGTGATTCTTCTATTAAGAATTTTCTTTCATCATCTATTTGTTTCTCCTGAATTATAGCCAACTCAGGAAAGAAGAAAAAGTACATTCTTTTCCAGGACACTAAGTTGGTGCTCCAACAGTCTCCGAAGGTGAGCGATGAGAATTGAAGTATACATTTTAATTTTAGTGTTATTAGATAATCATGGATTTATATGTTTGATGTTTCAATCTTTTATTTTTATTTTTTACTCTTCAAAGTGTCCCATTTTTGGCCAGTTGAATTACCTTTAAGGTGACTCCTGTGTGCTTTTGACACTCCCCACATGAAAGAGTGTGTAGTAGAGTTTTCTAGAGAAACAGAGAAACAACAGGATGTGTGTGAATATAGATGATGAAGATAGAGTTTCTTGTTTTAAGAGAGTTCTTTGTTTTAAGCATGACAGGGTGTCACACATACACATATACATAATGTTTCTAGCCCCAGACTTGAATACTGTAGATATTTTAAAACATTAAAAACATTAACAAGCTCTTCTTCAGCAAAGTTTTTCCTTAAACTTATATATTTATTCCATTTTTTTCATAGAATTTTATCATTTATAATTGAAAGTTTTTTATAGGCTACTCTGTCTTACATAACATGTTGTTATCTGCAATAACAACATACTATAATAAGGTTTTTTTTTAAAAAAAAAAAGGCCTTTGACCATAAGGTTATAAGTGTAGAAAAATTTCATCAGGGTTGGGTTTTCATTATAATTATTGGTAGCATGCAGTTATTCAAAACAGCATGAATATATTACCATTTCTGATATTTAGCAAACATAAAAAGAAAATTTATGAAAAAATATATTAGTAATATAGGTTGGGGAGAGCATGCATAATTTCTTGATTAAAGGAATTGTGGAGTTGTTTCTTGGTTTGAAACCTTGGAATGGGCCAAAAGGGAATATTTTTCTTTTGTAAAATGAGAAATAGAGACTTCCAAGATTAAACTCTAGTTAGGACAGGCAGCTTCTTAGAAGATGTACTTTTTTAAAGTACCTCTATATAGAAGGCAAGAATCTAGAAGTTGGTTTTCTTAAAACTATCCGCACTTGCATGCCCTTTGGAAAATCTACATGAACTGTTCCAACTTGAGGACCACCAGGACTCTGTTCCCCAATAGCTGACACATGGTGCCTACTATGTGCCAAACACATCAATTTTATGAAGTGGTTACTATTTTTATCCCCATTTTGCAGATGAAGAAACTGAAGCACAAAGATGTTATATAACTTGTCCAAAGTGACGCAGCTTATAAGTGGCCAGCAGGGAGGCAAACCCAGTCACTGCGGCTCCAGAGTCCAGACTCAACCACTATGGACATGAATGTCTTTTTTAAAAAAGGGTGGAAGGTTACCCTAGGTGGTGGCATCAGAGGGGAGCACATAGTGATCTAAAATTGTTGCGAAATAGGAAGTAAAGGAAAAACTGTAGTTTTTCTGTGTGTCAGTGAATAAACTATGCGTGTGTTAATAAAACATAAGTCAATGCCTTTATCTGTATTCTTTAGAGTACCATAATATTTAGTGTCAGTCAAATTAAAATTAACATATTTTTATTTCTTTAACTTCTAATGAACAATTAGTTCTTGTTTAATTGGCAATGTGCAGGGGTGTTATCTGAAACCCTGTTACTGTCGTGTTTTGCATATTCTACTTAGCCTGTGAATATGTTCTACTTCTAGTGAGGATGACACTGTTTATAGATATATTACAGAAGAAATATTTAATAATGGTAATGATTTCACACTTATATAACTAATCCTACTAGAAGCATTTTGAAGGTATTTTTCATTTTATTTATTTATTTATTTATTTATTTTGAGATGGAGTCTCACTGTTGCCCAGGCTGGAGTGCAGTGCCGTGATCTCGGCTCACTGTAATCTCTGCCTCCTGGGTTCAAGCAATTCTCCTCCCTCAGCCTCCTGAGTAGCTGGGATTACAGGTATCTGTCACCACACCTGGCTAATTTTTTGTATTTTTAGTAGAGATAGGGTTTCACCGTGTTGGCCAGACTGGTCATGAATTCCTGACCTTGAGTGATCTGCCCACCTTGGCCTCCCAAAGTGCTGGGATTATAGGTGTGAGTCACTGTCCCCTGCCTTTATTTTATTTTTTCAAGAGACAGGATCAGACTGGGCATGGTGGCTCATGCCTGTAATCCCAGCACTTTGGGAAACTGAGGTGGGCAGATCACTTTAAGTCAGGAGTTCGAGACCAGCCTGACCAATATGGAGAAACCCCATCTCAACTAAAAATACAAAAACTAGCCAGGCATGGTGGCGTATGCCTGTAATCTCAGCTACTTGGGAGGCTGAGGCAGGAGAATCACTTTAACCCAGGAGGTAGAGGTTGTGGTGAGCCAAGATCATGCCATTGTACTCCAGTCTGGGCAACAAGAGCGAAACTCCATCTCAAAAAAAAAAAAAAAAAAGAGACACAGTCTTACTCTGACACCCAGGTTGGAGTGCAGTGGCACAGTCATACTCAGTGCAACCCTGAAATTCCTGGGCTCAAGTGATCCTCTCGCCTCAGTCTATCAAGTAGCCAGGACTACAGGAATGCACCACTCGGCCTGGCTAATATTTTAAATTTTTTTATTTGTAGAGATGGGTCTTGCCATGTTGTCCAAGCTGGCCTTGAACTACTGGGCTCAAGAGATCCTCCCACCTTGGCCTCCGAAAATGCTGAGATTATAAGCATGAGTCACTGCATCCAGCTTTGACTCCTGAACTACTTTATGGGGGAAAAAAAAAAACAAAAAACAAAATTATACCTAACACTAAAATAATTACCTCTTTCACTGAAAGTTAGGATTATAATTGTGCATAAGTAAAAAAATAAAACTATTGCTGTTTTCTTCAGGTTATTTTTGAATAGTTAGATGCAAATTTCATTTTTTTAACAATTGGATTATATAATAAACATACCAGGACAGTCGGTGGATTTTGTTCTGCAAGCAGTTTTACTCTTTAATCATATACTTTTGCCTTGCTATGCACAGCTGGATTTTTGCTTATAAGCATTTCCCAATTAGGACTCAACCTATGAAAGAATTCAACAGGCAATGGTTGTTAAAGATGCCTTAGAAGAGAGCCTCACCCCTCCTATCATGAAACATTTAAAGGAGGAGGGAGAGAGAGGCCCAACAGAGGAGTGCTGGGCGGAGAAAAGCACCCTCTCTTATTAAACTATGTACAGACAGATACTTTTTCTTATTTGATGCAGATTAGAACATTTATTGAATGTTTACCGTGTACCAAGTCCTGTGCCAAATGCTTTCAAGTTCACTATTTCATTTAATCCTCATAACCATGTAGTTACCCTGTTTTGCACATGAGAAGACTGAGGCTGAAAAATTTTGTGACACTTAAGGTCACATAGTTAGAAAGTGCAAGAGAAAGACATGATCATCCTCTTATGTCAATAGTTATGAATTCCTCCATAATACTTGTGTGTGTAAGTTACGTTATATTGCTTTTATTTTTCCATATGCTTAGTTAGCAGCCAGTGTAGTTTCATAATCTTTGAGCTTCCCATCTCCTGTAGATTATCTGTGAACCTTAGGTGTTAATTGTTGTTCAAAAGGAAAGTTCTCCAGCTGCCCCCTCCCAAATGAGAATGACCCTTAATGTCAGTTAGTTTGTCTGTTGGTGCTGCTGGTACTATTGGTGGTGCTGCCATTGCCATAGCTTCTTGCTGACCCACGTCACCATTACTGATCTCATTGGCATCCATCATCTGACTCGCTCTATTGGTCCTTGCTTCAGGAAAGTCTTTCTGGCACCAGTTCCGCCTCAGCCTTGAAAGGCAACATGGTCTTTGAAAGAGGGTATATTAGTCAGGATTCTACAGGGAAACAGTACCAAAAAAAATTGTGTATGTGTGTGTATGTGTAGTCATGCATTGCATAAGAATGTTTTGCTTAAGGATGGACTACGTTTACAGTGGCACTCCCATGAGATTATAATGGAGCTGAAAAATTCCTATCACCTAGTGACATAGCTATTGTAATGTTGTAGTGCAATGTATTACTTTTCTATGTTTAGATACACAAATACTTACTATAGTGTTAAAATTGCCTACGGTATTCTACACAGTAACATGCTGTACAGGTTTGTAGCCTAGGACCAATCAGCTATACCATAGAGGCTAGGTATATATTATGCCTTCTAGATTTGTGTAAGTATACTGTATGATATTTGCCCAATGAAATCACCTAATGGTGGATTTCTCAGAACATATCCTCATTGTTAAGCAACGCATGTCTGTCTGTCTATCTATCTATCCATCCATCCATCCATCCATCTATCTGCGTATATATGAAAGTGCAATTTCCATTCTTAACCAAACCAAACATAACTCAGAGATTCTTCTCGCAGGGTGAACTGGTCTCAATGTTATTTTGTCATCACTTTCTTCTTGGACCAATACAATGCTTCACTGCAGTGGACACTGTTGTTGAATTCCCTACCTGTGAAAGCAGTTTCTGGAGAACTTTGGCTTGAAATGCACATACTTAGATAAGTTCTTTCTTCTGAACCATCCTTTTTGCTGCCCCCTTCTGGAAGCCATTGTTACCTGCAGAAAAGCTCCTCCCTACTAGCTCTCCTCCCAAGATGTGGAAAGGCAAAGTCCACCAAACTCCAGCAGGTTCATGGGAGGCTTTCATGTTGGACATCTCCTACTCATCAGTCAACCAGTGGTGTCCTTACCTGCTTGCCAGAGACCTTAAGTTCCATGGGTCCAAAACCAAATTCATTCTCTCACCCTCCACCAATTTCTCTTCCACCTTGTTTTCTCCTTCCCTTCTCTTTCTACTCATTCTTTGATCAATATATATATATGAAGATAGAAAGAGAGAGAGAGAGGAAGATTAATTGATTGATTTTTAAGAATTGGCTCCCGTGATTGCAGAGGCTGTGTGAGTCCAAAATCTGATGGGGTAGGCTGGCAGGCTAGAGACTTAGAGAAGGGGTGCAATTCAAGTCCAAAGACAACCTGCTGAAAGAATTCCTTCTTACCCAGGGGAAGTCAGTCATTTTTCTATAAAAACTTTAAACTGATTGGATGAGACCCACCCACGTTATAGAGGGTAAACTGC